CTTCTACGATCTCTATAATTATCGATAGTTTTGAATTTAGAATATTATCCGAGAATCGGAAAATATTATCAATTACGAAGATAGCGACCATAATCCTTATAATCCCTAGGGTATTTTTCGTATCTAAGAATCCAAAAATTATGCTAATTAGAAAGAAACAGAATAGAGGGCAAATCTTCGAAAATAAATTAGAATCAAATCTTGAAAAATCAAAAAATCATCCTTCGTCCAAATATTAATATTTTATTAAAAATCCTGCTCCCCCCCCTCTCCCCCCGTCCACGCTGCATCCACAAATCTCTATTAAAAGATTTTAGTACTCCATCCCAGCCACATATAATCAAAGAGAAATAAATCGTGTAAAATATATAAAATTATACGTAAATCCTAACGAATAATCATATTTGATATATAATATAATATTCTGGAAGATTTCTTATATTGCCATCTTAATTTTATTAAAAATTGGATAAAAATCTCCCGTATCTATTTCAATATACTAATCTAATTACAAACAAAACAATCTCTTCAGCTCTCAGAAAATAAGAGACTCCATATCACTAGATATCCAAGAATAGATACTATCATTTTTCTTCTCCTTATCGATATGCTATCTCAAACCCACGATTTTCATATTTGCAATGCGCCTATACATAATTCTCTAGCGCAGAGTTATTATAATCCCATTTTGAAACGAAATACAAATATAACAAAAATTTATTAATCTTACTTATCCTATAAGATTTCTAAATTTTCGTCTCCAATTCTAAATCGAACCCGCACAAATAGAAAGATATAGAGATGATTCGAGAATCAAATCGAAATAAATCGCGTAGGAAGTTCCTCTGCGAGTAAAAATCGAATAATCAAAATTCTCTAAGATTTTTCGAGCTGCCAATCGTATATATAGAAATTCAAATCATAAAATAAATTCAACTAAACTGAAATTTTTTGATCATCAAATAAATATATTCTTGAAAATAATTAGAGAATTCGTAATAAATATATTTCAAAATTGATTTCAACGGCTTCATCGTTGTCTCAACTAGACAACTTTCTATTTTTGAGCGCCAATAAATATTTTTTTAAAAAAATCTGCTGAATTATTTACCTTTAGATGTTGATCGCCCAGCTTATTCGAATATACGGTAAATAAGAAATAGAAATCATCAAAAAAGAATTGAGGCTGGCGGTTGGTTTGAAGTTCGGGCCTTTTAAATCCAATATTGTTTTTGTCTCGTAATTCCCTCGGGCAAACATCTTTCATATGATTGAACCCCCCAAATCATATATGTCATCGAGGGGTTCTGGATTTCCATGGATTTCCCCTTTGGAATTGATCGTCTAGCCTGTTCGAATAAGCGATCAACAAGAAATCGATTGTGTTTGGCGGCATCGCAATTCCGATTTCAAGAGGTAATAGAGCTTGTCCCCTTCATGTGAAGGCCATCAAAACCTTCTCCTAGATCTTTTGCGGCAGAAAACAATTGATCTTAGTGAGACCACCCAAATCGTATAGGGGGTCCAGTAGGATTTTCAAAAAACTTTACTTTTTTGGTGACCACAGCACTATTCGGGATTCAACATTTCTTTTGGAATGTGGCTAGACCTCGCACGACTCGGGCTTCACCCGCCACGGCCTCGCAAGAGAATGTTAAAACATGTTAAAACCGACGAGAAGCTGCGCACTGAGACTGCGTAGCTGTTGGAAAGCAAGGCTAAGAGTGTGCTGTGGGTCATGCTAAATTTTGCTTCCTTTCAGTTAAGTAGCTCGGCCCATGATTGCAACCCTTATACTTGCCCAGTCAATGTGTGTAATCCATAAATCCCTTAGGATTCTCTCCATAACCGAAGTATTCCCTAAAGCACGGTAAGCCTGAATACCAAGAATAAGCTGACAAGGCCTCTCGAGAAATGCCCATATCTCAATATCTCATGTGGGGACTATAGCGTAACTAGAATGTGTAGTAGCCTTTGCTAGAAATATTGAAGGGATTCAGAAATGGCTTCACGGCTGGTATGTCGTTTGGTTTGCAAAGCTGGTTGGCAAGAGAATCCTTCAGCCATGTTCCAAACCTCAGCACAGGTCTTGCTGTGCTTTTCATAAGCAATTCGGGACTGCTGAGATGATCTGCACTTTCCTACGCTGGACATGCTTTTGAGCCCTGAGTGCATTCGAGCCGCAGGACACAAGCCACAGCAACGACACAGACATCCAATGTTATGAGATGATTTTGGCATACGGCTCTGATTGATATCAGGATCATTTGCTGCCACGGCTGCTGGTGCTGCTTCGCGACTCGTGTCTATATGAAACAGCATTGGCCCAGAAGGTCATCACTAGTGAAGTTGCTACATCAGCAGCGGGAGTGCCAAAAACATACAAACTCAAATTGCTTCAGGCAGCTGTCATCACGTCATGCTCGAACAGGCAACCAGACAACCATTAAATCATGCAAGTTTTCAAGTCTGTAGGGATAACGCAGATAGGGCTAGGTAGGCGATAATGGTATACCAGCCCTTGGAGCATGGAACATGCCGTGTGGCTTGCGCTTGCTCAATATGCTGAACTAAGGGACGAGTGATTCCCGCTTGAAATGCACAACACTTCGCACAACAATTCCCACCTCCAGTGCGTAACGTGCACTTCATTTGGAAACATTTTGGCTCGACTGCTTGAAACCCATGCTTCCTCAGAAAAATGCTTCATGCACCTTTGGGGTCAAGTACGGCCTCAAGTCTCAATCTTTGGCACAAACCTGCAACATCACACCACCAACGGCAAGTCTGCAAATCATGCTGGATTTGGCTACTTTGCACAGAAGATGACCGGATCCCTCGTTGAAAATTCCCAACCTGCCTAACACATGTGGCACACGAGTTTACAGTTGCCTCCAGCATGTGGAACAAGCAGGAAGGTGCCATGCAGGGCCAGCACCGCTCTCATTCCAAGTGGGTTGCCAACACTGATCTGTTGGCTTGATAGTGTATGGGCTGTGAAATCTTCAAGGTGCTGTGCCTCACCACGCGGCTTTGTGATAGCCATCTTGCAATGGTGGTCAAACTTGGCAGGAGTCCATGGATTGGTTGAGCAACTAGTTTGTTCATCGATGCTTGCTTGTGCTATTCTTTTGCTGAAAGATGCTTGCACCGGCAAATCCCAGGAGAATCTACGTCAAAATTGGCGCAAGCATCAAAGTACTGTCGCTGCTCCACAAGATTCGCCCATTTCTGACTCTTAGTCAACCGCATACGTCGCTGGTGGCTCATTTCACACCAGCATGGTGCCGTCGCACAGCACGTCCGTCGGTCTTCGCAGGCCTGGGGCGCCTTCAACAACCCGGAGAACAGTTCATTCGCGGGCGGAGCTTCAGCGAGTGCATGGCAAATCTCCAGATTCCAGGAATGCTCACGTGTCTGAAAGGCCGAGCGGTTCCGGTGCTGCATAGCAGTCAAGGGTCGTTCCCTTGTGCGGATGCACAATAGCAGGACAGAGCGTCATGCAGCCAACTTTGCCTTAGCTTGGCCGCGTTGTTTCTGGCTGCATGCTTGCCTGGTGAACAGTCTCCAGCATGGGTCTGGAAGATAAGACAATTCTTTACATATCCTCCCCCAACCAAGCTCAGAAGGCCAATCTTCTTGTACCAGGCGGCACATGTATGCTAAAGGCATGGCACGCCTGCCTGCGACTACAAAAGTTTGTATCGCATCACTTGCGACAGTGTAGAAGCAAATGCCAAGCCCAAAAAGCTATGCGCAGCCCGGGGTCAGCTGTCCCAGCATCCTGCTATGCCGCACGCGCCACAGGGTCGGCTCCAGAGTATGTCCTCCCAGTCCAACGCGAGAGTCCCTATTTGGTGCACAAGCCGTCCACTTCTGGCCAAATTCCAAAAGCAAAGTGTCCTGTCGTCTTACGGACGAGTCGGTCGGATAGAAGAGGGACATGACCTCCCAGTACGAGTAGCCTGGAGGCATCTAGCGGCATGCTTTATTTGGCGCCCATAACAAGTCCTCTATTGATAAAACAATCAACCCGCAGATGTAACGAACATGAGGGAAGGCAATTGCAACACGTTTATCGTAGGTGAACTGAGCAGAAGATTTGGCGGAAAACAAACATGTCCAAAGGCAACCCGGGTGCGGATGCGTTGGAATGCAGAGAATGCAGGTGCACACTCACATTTCGTCTTGCAGGCGTCCAGACAAGTCAGGCACCACCTTCAGACTCGAAGCAGAATGGGTCTGCGATGACATGGTTTCCGCTAGCGCAGTGCATTGCAGTCCATTTTGTCTTGCACAAGAAACATGGACCACAACCTGGCCTGCCAAGTTGCTGCTAGAAATGGTCATGAGGCATTTAAAGGGATCTTAGTACCACGATCTTCAGCAGATTCTGAAAACCCGACCTGTTTGTCCAGCGGACGGCAGCCAAAACATCGCGATCTCAAACACTTTCCATACACGTCTGGCATGTCCAAGGCACAAGTTGCGGAATGGATGCCAATCTGGAGAGCGCGCGTCCATGTCACCATAATTGTTGACCTGGTCTGTTCCTAGCACATTCAACTCCAACATCCAGAGAGCCCTAAATAACCCATCTTGCTACGTTCAACACACAGCTCTCAACCCTTCAAGAAACTGCGTTCACCTGAAGAAGAGAACTACGCTAAAAGCTTCACTTGGCAAGCACCGTTTTCTGCATGCCGGGAATCCCGCATTATCCTGCGTAGGTTTGATTTGCAGCCAGTCATGCCAAAGCCACAAAGCATCTGAAACCAAATGCCGATATTGGCTCTATATCGTTAAGCTTAAGGGTCCCACAATTTGCTGCACTTCGGGAGATCTTCGAATCACCTGGCCCTGGGCCACCGCGAAATCCTGCGGACATCTGGAATTGCCATCACTTGCAGACAGGGAGGCATGCAAGAGGCCTGCATCCTGCTAGGTTTTTGGACAGACTCACTCAAAAATCATCAACAGTCATACGTCATGCCCACGTCCTCCCAGCACATGTCCTGAACCTGGTACGTGTCCTTGATGGGGCTGCACTCAAAACCAGACCATCAATACTGTCAGTACTCCATCCCCAAGGGCATGAACGCTTGCAACAAGACGCTAGAGTGCTTACAATGAATTCTTCACATTCGATGTCGGCAGCCGCTGTCAAGATAAAGCCGCACACTGTGGCCATGACTTCTTTTCTTGGGTCTAGGATCTTCAACTTGCACAGTAGCAGCCTCTACCAATGCACTCGGTAGCAGTCAGAAGACCCAACACTACAATTAAGGGACAAGCCCTCAGAGAGCTATCCACCTCAAACCAAATTCCATCCTAAGCCGCGCATGCTCAACCTGGCTTCCGTAGAGTAAAGCCCAGAAATCAACAGCTCAGGCACATCCAACTCCGAGTCTGAGGCCTTGGGATTGGCACGCAAATGTCCAGGCTTTGCAGCATTTGCAGTTGCAAGGACAAAATTCTATGGGCTAGGTGTTTTTTCTTATGCTGCCAGTGTTTTTTCTTATGCTCCGGGCTGGTGGGTGCTCAGTTTTATGCTCGAGGTTTTTTCTGTTATGCGGAAATGTTTGGTCTTTTAATCTTCGCTTTGTCAACGTGCTTGGTTTTATGCCGACCGTGTTTTTTCTTATGCCCCCCCCCGCCCCCCGCGCACAGAGCATCAACATACTTTTCATGCCCACACTATGCATGGAGAACGCGATTGGACGCTTGTGCAAACTTTCTACATGTACTCGCCCTGGCGTTCTGAGGCTAGTAGGCATTGACCCGATGGCCTTCACACACCATTACATGGTCCTGGAAGTACCTCTTAAGCGCTGCGTGGTTCAATACGTGGCCGCCTCCTTGAAGCTCGAGCGGTCCCCTTCACAGAGCACCGGCATGCTTTTCATGTTCACGCTCACACTCTGTATGGAATGCATGGAATGATATGGTGTGGTGGCGTGGTGTGAAGTGGTATGGTGTGGTATGGTGGGGTATGGCGCGGTACGGAGTGGTAGGGTTAATTCTGCTGGCCCTTGTGGGGGTCTGCCCCTCTACCGGCCTGGGAGGGCCCTTGGGGGCCTATATAAGGCTCCGCAAGGGGCTTAATTCTGCTGGCCTTTATGGGGGTCTGCCCCTGGGGTACTGTCAGGACGGGGCTTATGGGCGCAGATGGGGCCCTTGGTGGCCTATATAAGGCTCCTTAAGGGGCTCAATTCTACCAGCTTTTACAGGGGTCTGCCCCTGGAGGGGGCCCTTGGAGGCGTAGAAAAGGCTTGGCAAGGAGCTTTATTCTACTGGCCTTCATGGGGGTCTGCCCCTTTACCGGCCCGGGGAGGGGGTACGGTCAGGGGGATTTATGGAGGGCGTACGGGCTTATGGGCGCAGATGGGGCCCCTTGGTGGCCTATATAAGGCTCCCTAAGAGTGGTATGGAGAGGTATGGAGTGGCTGTGTGGTATAGTGTGGTGCGGTGTGGTGTGGTGGTGGTGTGGTGGTGTGGCGCTGTGGCGGTAGCGTAGTGGCGCTGTGTGGTGGTGGTGTGTGGCGTGGCGGTGTGGTGATGTGGTGATGTGGCAGGGTGGTGTGGCCGTGTGGTGATGTGATGGGGTGGTGTGGTGGTGTGGCGGTGTGGTGGTCTGGTGGCGTAGTGGCGTGCTGGCGTGGTGGTTGGGGGTGTGGTGTGGTGTGGTGTGGTGTGGGGTGGTGTGGTGTGGTGTGGTGTGGTGTGGTGTGGGGTGTTGCGGGGTGTGGTGTGGTGTGGTGTGGTGTGGTGTGTTGTGGGGTGTTGTGGGGTGGTGTAGTGTGGTGTGGTGTGGGGTGAGGTGGTGTGGGGTGGTGTGGGGTGGGGTGGTGTGGGATGGGGTGGGGTGCGGTGTGGCATGGTTCAAGATGTGGCCGCCTCCTTGAAGCTCAAGTGGAGCACCAGCATACTTTTCATATTCACGCTCACACTCTGCATGGAATGCATGGACTAGTATGGTGTGGTGGTGTGGTGGTGTGGTGGTGCGATGGTGTGGTAGCGTGGTGGTGTTGTCTCAAGTGGTATGGTGTGGCATGGTGTGGTACGGTGTGGTAAGGTCTGAGGCTTCGATTTAAGGTATGTGTCGTCAGAATGTAAGCGTAGTTCCGGACAAACAGCCCAAGCATAAAGAAAAACACCCTCAGCATCTAGAAAAACACTCTCAGCATAAGGAGATGCCATGGCGGACTGGATTCAACAACATGGCAGCATAAGAATACACACAACCAGCATAAATACAGAAACCGCAGCATAAACTCAAGAACCATGCCAGCCCTGGAAGCATAAAATGGAAGAACTACCTAAAAACAATTTGCCCAACATAAGGGAAAAAACCTCCAGAATAAAAAATATAAATGCGTAGCCCAAATTCTATGCCCCGGGCTTGCAGGGCTAGCAAGTTTCTCACTTCAACATCCCCCAGCAGAAATCCAAAGATCACATGAAATAACCTTAGCAAACCAAATGAGAAGAGTGTGTATCAAAGCATACGTTGTCTTCCAACGTGGATTCCAGTGCATCTTGTCCCAGCCTCATCATTCACTGCTTGTACCATTAGTGCGTTTCTTGTTCGCGATATTATGGTCGGGAATGTGCTCAGTGATTGCAACGCAAATTTTGGCATGGATTATAAGCCTAACTTTTCAAGGCTCTTTAAAGCAAGAACATGAGAAATCATTCAGCCTGCTGTGCCCCCTTTCGTCTTTGATCTATGAAGGATTCCTATTGTATCACGCTAGATTATACAACTGCCCGAGGCCTTCTCCAGCCCTGCAAGAAGGGAGCTGATCTTCCAGGCGCTGCCAGGGCCGGTCGAGTAGCCTGAGGAGAGGGAATGATAAGTAGGAATCCAACTACCTCCTTGTGGTGGCGCTAGTACTAAGTCTAGCAAGTCCTGCTACTACAGCTGCTGCTACGAATGACCATCACTGGCACAAGGACAACGGTTTCGAATTACCCGTAGTTCCCGGTTCCAGATTACGATCGATTCAGGGAGTTGCTGGGCGGTTTAGCTACTTCGGCCATTAACTATCGTAATATCATCCATTATGTGCTCTGTTTGGCACTCTGTTGATGAATTGGAGTTGAGCAAGGAATCTTGGGGCTCGCATCACCCTTTCCTTGCTGTTTCGTGTGATTTGCGTGCACAAGCTCTCAGCCTGAATTTATCTATGCTGGCAATGCCGCACAAGGTGCTGATGGGTTCAATCACAACCAGCCTGTCGCCTGCAAATCTATGCAGCATGATACTGCAGCATCGCAATAGAAGGCTTGTCGGACAGGGAGCCATGTCGAGCAGCATATTGTCGTGCCATTCGCATCCTCATCTTCGCGCAAAAGTGCTCAGGATGCACATGTGAAGGGCCAGCTCCACGGTCAGCAATGGCAAGAAGCAGCTTTAACGCAAAGATCTCCGAGCGTCTACCGCAGCCCCTAGCGGCCCAGACCAAACCCACCCTGCCAACCCGAGGACAGGATAACCTTCTCAAAAGCTCCAGAATGACTTACGTAGAAGCACAAATGGGACCAGAGCAGCAGCGGCAGCAGCAACAGGGGCAGGAGGAGCAGCAGCAGCAGCAGGAACGACTAAAAGCAAACACCTCTTACCACCATGTGCATGCCTGAGAAATATCATGCTGGAGGTGCAGGAATGATGATGATGATGATGATGCCGATGATGATGATGATAATGATAATGAATATAATGATAATGATAATGATTGTGATGGTGATGTGGCAGCAACTAGTAGCAGCGGCAGTAGCAGCAGTAGTCGCCGTCTTTATTATCATCCTGGTGGTGGCAATGCAGGCAAGCAAGAGCAGGAGTTAGAGTAAGACGTAAGAGAACTAAGAGTTGTAGGGGCAGTAAGAATAGTAAGAGTAGCAAGGGTGGCAGGAGCTGTAGGAGGAAGAGTGGGAGTGACTAGTGACTGCTTCCAAGCGTCCGCCGCTCATCGCCTGGTTCCAAATCCTTGGGCGCCTTGCGGAACAAGCGCTCCACGCCCTGTCGCGACCCAAGAATCTAGAATTTCCATTTCGAGGGTTTTCGGGTGTGGGTTGCAGAGTTCTGGCTTTATAGGCAGAAGTGGATTGATCGATACAGGGACTTCGTGGCAGAGACCAAGGACTTGGGATTGGTGTCTGCGCAATCCCAGGGCACCAAGATGAACGTCAAGACTGACTGCACAGGAAGTGTGAAGTACTTGTCACAGTCTGCTCGATGCTTACATGTTTCAGTTCTAAAGCTCTCGAAATTCATTTGATGTTAGCTACAAACGATTCATTGTGTAGCGAACGTAAGGATCCACTTCTCTGAGCTGTTAATGGGTCTGTAATCAGTGTTGCAAGAAAGCAAATCCGCCAGTGGACTGAAACCCCGGAACGGCGTGCCACAGATAGCAAGAAATCGGAAACAGCCACGATATGGGCAAGAGCAAGCGACACTACAGGCGAGTCAACAGAGCCTTCTAAGCAGGTTCATCCAACCTGAGACCTTCAGGCAAAACACTGAACGGGAATGCAAAAGCCTTCAGGTTTCTCAGAACTATGCTACAGTGTACACTTAGAGCAAGGATGCTGTCCCTTTATCAAAGGAGGCCCAAACTCCCCTAGGTCCTGTGGGAAGAAGGCTCCCGTGTGTATGTTGGCAATGTTGCCCATGCTAATGACGTCGGCATCCTTGGATATTCACGAATTCAACAAGGAATGTAGGATCTAAGGTTTCCACAAGGACCTGTAGCAGTAAAACAAGGGAAAAAACATGATACGAAAGAAATGCTGCGACCTCAAGGGAAAACTTTCTGCAAGGCTCCACAATGTAGTTCGGGTGACCGACAGAACCTCCCACGCTCCTCTTGTTTCTAGACTTTGGATCCAAGCAGAAGACTGCCAGTCCAGGGCGGGGGATAGCGGAAACAAATCAGCGATTAGGGTCCGGACATCAAAGAAACAAATGCAGGGCATATGCAACTGCTGCCCAGAGTTGCAGAAGCTTTAAGCTTGAAATATAAAAACAAATGGGTTAAACCAGAATTCTTGTTGAGTTGAGCAGCAATGAGTTTGCAACTTCAAACCTTATGCCTGCCCTGAATGTACTCGATGATCTTCGTCATATCCCAGATGCTTGCAAGCGCGTGGCTGAGGTTCAAAGTCGCTCAATAACATATCCCCAGCACGCAGCCAGGCAACGGGAACCGACTCAAACCGCCGGAGGAGGCGCGTGTCCTCCCCCAGGCTGCTGGATTTGAGAATCATGTCGCTTGCAATGCTGGTATCAGGGTAGCTTCTCATCATCGTCATTCCCCTTCAGCTAGCGACCTGTAATACGCGTCCTACGCTGCAGAACAAGGTTTCTTTCTGCTTGCACGTCTTAGAGATTCGGAGACAAAGCGTGTGGATGTGGCCTCACACGCATCACGACTACCTGTAACATGCAGTCCATTGGCTATCAACCAACATGAGACACGGCCGAATGCTTTACCAGGGCCCTAAAACAAACTTGTTCAGGGCTAGCACTCAGCACGACTGGTCTGCTAGAAATTCGGCTACTGAGCTAATACACATTAGGACTTCAACTACCACGACTACGTCCACCGCAATGACTGATTTGTTGTTGATGCTTCTCTTTCTCTCGATGTCGTGACATCCTATGAACTGCATGGCGGTTAAAAAGTTCACGACAATGATAGTAACTACCCGCCGCAACGACAATAATTACATGCAAGACAACTACACTGGCAGCAGAGCAAAGCAATTTGATCTTGCAAGCTCCTCCTCCCATATCATCAGATACCTCGCACCTGGACGGTCCAGCTTTGATGATGTATGAGCAGACTGCGATGTTCCGGTCTGGGAACGTCAGGGGCTTGGCCTCTCTGGCCCTTGTCTGGGATTGAAAGGTGTGGTCACAGGCTTACGCTTCAGCTCGGTTTCCAGGAAAGGATTGCAAATTCCAGGTTGCCCTGAATGCTGAAAAACCCAATACTCAATACACTAGGAGCCCTGTATCGAAATCACACATTGAAATGGTGCAATGGTCCACATTTGCTGAAGGCCCGCAATCCTGAGCTGCACGTTTCTGCACGTCTACGTGGCACATCATTTTTTCAAAGCTGATTTGCCCCCAAAGAACAGAAGCCCTTATACTGGAAAAAGAAGCGTAAGCCTAAGCCCAAAACCCTAAATAGTAGTTTCCATCTCATTTTCCATTATCCCAATACAACCCCTATATAATCCCAATAATCCCTGTAGTTTCCATTTTCTTTTCCATTATCCCTAATATTACCCCAATGGGTGCCTATCCACAGAGACCCCCTGAAGCAGCTCGAGCAGCTGTGCCTCGCTCCTTCGCCCAGCGCGCGGCAGCAGCCAGTCGCTCTAGGTGTGTGCGGCAGGTGAAATTCCTGGTGCGATAATAGTAATAGTAATAATATGAGTAATAGTAATACTAATACGAAAAGTAATAGTAAGAGTAATGCCCACGAATATGTATGGAAGATGTCCAGGTTGAAGGTTGCAAAATTCTAGGACTACGGGTAAGGCTGTCTCAACACATGATGGTCATCGGGACACGAGACTCGACTACACCAGGCTTCTCGAAGTTGGTTGAGGATCTGGCAACTGACCCTCTCCCTGCTATCTCAAGAAAAATCCAGCCTGATTAGAGGGTCAGTGGTTTCATGATTTTGGGTTTTGAGCCTCGGTGTGGCTAGCCATAATCAGGAACTGTTCTAAACAGTGTTGCACGACTTTCAGGGGGGGCCTTAAAAGAAGTTTACAATCTATATATCATCACATCTACACGGGAAACCTTTGTTGGTATGTGGTGTTTTTGGGGCCTTGGTTTCGGACTCAGAGTAAGGGCTTAGGTCTGCAGGTATATTGGGCTTCTCGCAACCAATCTTATCTTTAGATCGAGAGACAAGCTGACCCGGGAGGTCTCAAACACATGTACACGCAACATAGACTGGCGCCCAAGCGGGGCGAACAGCTTACCGAACAGACCAGGCAGACAGGGGGGCAGGCAGGGACGGCACAGGTCCATCAGAAAAGTGTCAGCATTGAAGATTCAGTCCACCATGCACTTCCTAACAGAATGGCTCAGCTTTACAATTGAGGGCCTAACTAAAGGGCTTACCAGGCAGTGGGGACGGGAGGGAGTCAGGAAGGACTGAGCTTAAAAGTGAAAGTCTTGGAAAGCTTTTCTGATGAAGACTCGAGTCTGCTGCGCCGTTACCAACAAAACCTGCCTACTGGCTATATTGGGATGGTGGAAAATAAAATGGAAAACTAATATTGGGGTATACATGGGATATAATTTGTTGCAGGCACTTGTTCTATGGGTGCCCCTCCCCATTATATCGAACGACTCTCGATCTGCCTACTGGCTATATTGGGATAATGGAAGGTAAAATGGAAACTACTATAATATTGGGGGGTATACATGAGACATAATATGTTAGGAAAGGTGCAAATAATATTGGCTTCGCAATAATGAATCCCGCCCTCCCCCTCAATTGATCTTTCTCCAATTTCGGGGTGGCCCCGGAATGATATTGACCAAAGCGTAGGTTGGCGAATCTATATAGAATCAATCAAAAGCCAAGTGAAACTGGCTGCCCCGAAGAATTTTTTTGGGGGAATATTACAATTTGTGGGTCTTGTTATAACTGAGTTCCGGCGGCGGGATTTTATAAAGTGAGTCGAGTCAGTCCCTAATGCGAAGTCAACCTTACTGACCTCCCCGCTCCACGGCCGCCAATTCGCTAGTGCGAGTCGTTGTGATGTCACAGACCGATTTGGTAGGTTGCCAAAATAGGGGAACTCCATTATAGACCCTAATATACTATACTCCCTATGATTGGGAACCCCAAAAAACGTACCCCTGACTTTAGGAAACCTTTGTTCCTATCAAACGACCCGAAATTGCCAGTATCCATTAAATTTTCCATGTTCTTTTCCATTTGATTCTCCATTATTGGGGCTATATACATATATAATCCTATTCAAAGATGTTGCTCATCAGACCCCAGGTTTGAACTCAAGCGTTTAGAGAGTGAAGATTGCTACTGGCAAGTTCCCCTCTGCGCATTTGCGCATTTGGGGGTCAGGGATGGGTGATGAGCCTTAGGATTTGTAGCTTGGGCCGTTCATCGATGAACACCAGAACGTTGAAGCACTGCTGTTGCGCCCTTATGGTCTGCTCAAGCGGCAAGAATGGCCATCTGTCCGAAATCATTTTTCACTATCGACTTGGACAGAGCCGTGTCATATCCAGAAATTCTAGCTTCATCTGGGCTACAAGGACGCAAAACACACACCC